AATGGAAGCTAAGTATATGGCAGCAATAGAAGAGTAAAAAAAAACTATTTGATTGGATAGATTTATCATGAAGATGGAATTAACACAAGACGCGATCAATCTCCATTGTCATAGCCATAGTGTTTTACATTCAGCTGCAAATCAGATCATGGTTAGCAGAGTGAATCACATCCACATCAGGTGTAATTTTATTAGATAAGCAATGTTTGAAAAAATATTTGAGTTCAACGTAAAATTTAATCCAACTGATGCGTTGAACAAAGTTATTTCTTTATAGAATTTCGAACAACACTGTGCTATTATGCATTAAGAGCACAAGTAGAGATTTTTGCAATGATGTTCAGTGATACCTTTATATATTTACTCTATCTTGTGATGACTACAGATAGTTAACTCTCGTTTAAGAAGGACTTTAGTGTTAAATTTCATTCTAGAACTTCTCAAAGAGTAATTATATAATTTACAAGGTTTACTTTTCCTTTATGCAAGTACATTTTTCAGTTTACGGTGATATTGATTTTAGTGTATATACACCCAACACACATCCACTCCATGGTATTTCTTAGGTGTATAGCGTGACATTTCTTGGGTATATATCACTAATACCACTGAGTGGGTGTGTGTTGGGTGTATATACACTAAAATCAATACACTCTTAGTTTACTCTCTATGTTATTACTCTATCATGTTATGGCCATTGTTTAGTTTTAGATAACTCTCGTTTAAAGAGTAACCTTGTGTTAGATTTTCATTGAGAACTTCATGCGGAATAATAATATAAGTTACAAAAATTATTATTTATTTAACACGAGTTAAGTGAAAGATTGTTAAGGTTAATTCTGGTTAAGAAGTAACCTCATGTTCAACTATTTATAGCTAATATTCATTGCTAATATTGGATATATATATACTTTGATGCTTCTGCGCTATACGCATTGTTGTGTTTTCACCTAAATAGCAATGTCTCTCGCGTGTATACCTCCTTAGACATAGCCCTTGACAATGAACCACTTTACCACTATTGATTCTTTGTTTATCTACTATTTGCATATTTGTCTGTCACTGCATATATTGGACTAACAAGAAGATAGTAATTAGAATTTTCTAGTACGTGATTAATTTGAGGGATTAAGATTACCTATAATTTGAATAATCACATACAATTTTTAAGGATCTCCTAATTAGGTGTGACGTATTTCTTATTGGATTGTTGAAATATATGGCAACCTTCAAAATCTGATGAGAAATTGATTGATTTGTAATGTCAACTATCATTAACAATTTCATTATGTTTTTGATCGACAATCCGCGCAGAAATGACCTGAGCCGAAAAATTTTCCTTAGTCTGGAAAAACATCAAGCCTAAGGTTTAGGTCTGTACCAGCATTTGTAAGTCCATACTTAAGCTTCTAGATAATTGATTTCGGTAAGTGATTTGGGATATAGATGTGAGAAGATAGATATATAGATATAGAAGTGGCCTGTGGAGGTGAGTAGAAAGGTGAGAGTAGATTTTTAGTAGTTACCATATATCCAGGCTTGATATGTCTTTTACAATGTTGATATTTGGCTCTCGATAACATTCAAAAGAAAACGGAAATATAATTATTTACAAGATAGTCATCCAGCAGAAGTCACCATAATCTAGTATCAGGAAGTATAGCTAAAACCGTGGGGACATACCATCAATGCTGCAAGATGAAACCAAAAGGTTAGTACCTCACGAATGCAAGACAATGGTAATTGTGTCTGATAACATAACATATTTCAAGTTATAGACAAACTGTCTAAAGTGGAACACTTCAAAGAACGGGGAAGTAGACTATATCGACTCTATATTACTAGAAATAATGATGATTTTCAAGCATTATCAAGTCATATTTTTAGAAGCCAATAGGCGAACATATGCTACATTTACATCCAAAGTCATAGAGGGGAGTGTCTTTACTTGGACACCGAACGCAAGCATGCTTGAACGCAAGCACTTTTCAAGCATGCTTGAAAAGTGTTGATTTTGGGGAGAATTTACAGATGGCCGAGTGAGATGTGTATTTCTTCTTTTGCTTCTGTAAGCATTGCTTCCATTCGTACAATAAAATTTTTTGCTCTTGCTTTTTTTTAACCTGCGGATATCTATTTTTATTCATACCAATACTAGTTCTACTTATAGAAAAATAGGTGCTTATTCCATCAAGGTAGTCTAGCATAAAAAAACAACTTTCGCACGTGATTATTAATTTTTTAATAAATCTTTCTATTCTGATTATGTAAGAATATAGTTAAGAAACCGGCTGAAGTGCGAACGGGAAAGGGCAGGGGAAATACTAAAGGTTGGATTGCTCGTGTGTTGAAGGGACAAATCTTATTTGAAATAGATTGTGTTTGTTTGTCAAATGATCAACAAGCTGCTACATTAGCCGCGCATAAACTGGGTTTGTCTATAAAGTTTTTTAAGTGGTCATAAAAAAGAGAAATAAATATGGCAAAAAGTAAAAATTAGCTGCGCCAAATCTTGCTATGGATTGTTTTTTTTTCTTCTTTCTCCGTAAAGTGCCTATGGTACCAGTTCATATCTGGTTACCTGAAGCTCATGTGGAGGCACCTACTGCTGGATCTGTAATTTTGGCAGGAAATCTTTTAAAATTGGGATCCTATGGTTTTTTAAGATGTAATAATATTATAAACCTGATACTGTTTTGGAATGCTCAAATATAAATATTAGAAAAAAATCTCTACGAAGTAAAAATCTAAATTGACCAAAGAGAATAGGAGAAAATCAATTGATGGGAAATCTCAAAACATTTGATGTACCGGACAGGTTTTGTTTTACCATATGGGACACCATGGGACTTCCAACCCCACCTTTAGTGATATTCCAGTACTATTTGGTGTTATTTCGAGTAGAAAGATGAAGTCAGGGTTTATATTTATGGTGCCAGTGGATTTTTGGACATGGCCGCGAAGTAATCTTCAAAATACTCTGGCGAACGCTTGTCACTCTATAGAGCAAATCAATAGATTATAAGAACATGGTTGACGGTGGCCTTCGAATGAGGTTTATAGGGTAAATTGAAACCTGTTGGTCCCTTCCGTTGAGTTTCCAAGGGTCCCATCAAATAATATATTCCAGAGAGGCTTGATATATTTAGTCAGTTGAACAACTTCATCCACAATATTTTATACTCTGGTGAGAAGTCGATGTATCATGGAAAACTTACCCGTTAATCTTCTAGAAGGCTTTCTACGCGCCAAATGCAACATGTCACTGACGGGGCATTTTGGTCTTTACCCATACTTTAATCTCTTCCCTTGCTATCCCCAAACTTTATTCTATACAAGAACAAGTTTCAAGTAGGGAACAGACAAACCCAATACACCGACCATTCACAACCGTCTGTGGAAGACATTGTTAGGATTACTAGTCTTGGAAGGGCCAACTTCAAAGATTGTGAATGTTTCCAGCACGCAAGTCAAAGAATAGGTTTAAAATCTGGTTGTTAATGTCTTTCAATTCTCAATATAATAATATTTACTGTATGTGCACATGGCAGAGTCTCTGCAGTTACGATAAGATTTATAAGAAATTACATTTATAGATGGAGCTAGTCGCATTCATAGAGTATTTTAACTCTGCAATGATTTAATTACCTTTAATCACCATGTGATTTCTAGAACTATATCTGTTATAGCTGGAATATCATAGAATATTTTAATGTAGAGAGACTAGAGAGTATGATGCTTATTGTGTCCGGACAGCATTGTCGTGTATCAACGCCATTTGTGTTTGACCGTAACGCGAACCAACGAGGAAAGAAGATAGGACAACGAAGGGAACCCGCGGCTGACACCATGTTTAATTTGTGCATGGCATGCCATCGACGCACGTGTTTACGAAGAATTGTCATTGAGTTCCAATTAGTGGAGCAGGTTTCTGATCGAGCGTCTGCAGGGCCGTGCATGAAGGTTGGCAGGCTGACAACTTCCGCCATTTCAGTGCAGCCGCGTATGACCCTGTTCAGTCTCGACAGGAGCGGAGGTTGACCTCATGGCGAGTCGGCCATACATGCATGCTCTAGTTTCTACGGCCTCCGTATGTTACCCTCGATGTGCGGGTCCGCAGGGAGCTACACTTTCCATTCAATTATTCGAAGGATCATTAAACTCAGTCTCCTCGGGTGGACACGATGTGGGCGCTACCGATTGCGCTACGAGAACAGAGAGGTGCATTCGTCACGAAAAAGGCGGTCCAAAAAGTTATGACCATCGAGACAGGAATTTGCTTCTGAGTACACAAAAACTGTGACAATCATTTCTCGATAAATCCACAGACGAATACGACCTCAAGTACAACCCCGATACTCGCTCGTGTTATTGTGCATTCACCGTGTGGTTCTGGACATCGAAGGGTCAAACTGAAATTCGATATCTGTGAAGCCAGAAATGCAGTCTGACACAATTAAAGTTGTACTCAAATTGTCCAACCGTAGTTTTCTGAAAGCCACGCTACTGTCTTCCATGAAAGAGTGTGCGGGAAATGCATTTTTCAGGGCTACCCGACTACGCATTGTGCAGAATGGAGATTGAGAGTGGGTGACCAACTGAGAACCATGTCCTCTCCACGTCGATAGCAACGAATACCCTGATCTCTTCCAGGTGTTCGTCAATTGTTATGCAATCAAGAGCTTTAGTAATGACTCTTGCCCCCAAACGAAAGGTCTCTGGTCATTGACCATGAGACGCCGGAACCGACAGTTCGTCCAGCCAAGTTGAGAGGAAGGGATTAATAGGCTTGATGTACGTGCACTAACTAAAGCGGTTTTCACCAGGCTAAGAATATACGATGAATATACTAACATGTATATTATACATGCTCAGATCAGAAAAATATGCGCGAATAAAGATCCTGTCAGAATTTGTCTTCAAAGACTGGAGTTCGCAACAGATGATCTCGAGACAGTATATAAGGGCCTTTCGGACAGGCTTCTACAAAGCTTCAGTCCCTCAGTCATCTATAGTCACTGCGGAGATTCTGGCCTTCTGCAATTAGTCCAACAACTGCTTGTTCTCAAGCAGCTGCTCCTGCTCGACGCCGTGATCCGAAGCAGTCAAAATGTCGTACACCATCCGCGTGAGAGTGATCGAGAGCAAGCCCACTGCCTGGTACAGCGTTGTGGAGAAGTGCAACTGGCTCTATGGCGGCTACTGGACTGAGGTGGACGGCGAGCACTTCCTCCACATGGACGCCAGCGGGACGTCCGGCATGCTGCGCTTCAGAAACCCTGCCGGCGAGTTCTTTCTCGTCGCTCTGGGGGTCCACAACTACAAGAGATGGTGCGACATCGTTGTGGACCAGAAGAATACCAACACCGGCGTCGAGATTCTGCCCACTTACTACAACAACGGGTCTCGCCAGGAGATGCTGTGGAAGCAGCTGGCGACCTATGAGAAGAAAACGAGCAAGGGCGAGACCATCAAGGTTAACTACTACAAGGAGGACGGAAACAGTCTATACGCCACAATCACCATCACTTAAGCTTGGGGCTGAAGCCAACAACGTCTGATGCTGCTGTTGGTGTTTAGTCTGCCATGACTCTCGCACTAGCGCAGGAGTGTCGATCTACACCTTAGGCAGATAAGACTGCGTTGAGAATTACCTGCTTAGTGTTGTCTTGGATTCCATCAGACGTATAGTTTCACTTGAGCTGACTTTCAGTTCAACTTCCTCACACACTTGGTAGCAACTGGCTGCTAACCAAGCTGTCAGGACAGAACGATGTCTGTGGTGTGAAGGTTTTTGCTGAGAAAATGCAAGCAATAAAGCGCGTTTCTTTGTTGGTACACATATCCGACTCAAAGAACATATTGAGAACTTACACAAGTGACATATCTAAACATGTAGTGTAACATGTGCTCGTTACAACTTCAGTGGCAGTTGCTTAATACTGGATTTCTTTCATGAATCTCACAGCAATGTTGCAACACTATTCATACGGATCTGAAAATCCAAAGCAGTTTGAATCTAAAGCAACGTTAATAAAATTATTAAATTAGTCCATGTCCAAACCCAATATTAAAGCATGTGGACGTGAGAAGTGACGTCGATTCTCTGACTAAAAACTTAGCACATTTGTCCGATCGACAAGTGGTGATTGACAACTTCTTCATTCATTTGTAGATTTTCCGAGTCATTGTTGAGATCTGTATTTAACGATTGAGCTTGACCTGGTTTGTACGGATCTGGCGCATGACAATACAATCGTTGATCTGTAACATCGACGAAGCGATAATTTAACTTTTGAGTCCTTCACTGGGATAAAAGAACGAGATGATGAGATCCAAAAGAGTCATTCAGAAGAAAAATCAAACTGTTCTGTGCTCACTTTTTCTTAGAATTCAGTTTTTTCAATGAACGGATTGAGAGGAATGCCTCATGGGACTCAAATATGAAGCCTAATGAGTATAAGCCTAACTCTATCACCTGCGCGAAGAAGTAACTTTAAGCTCTTAGCATGCCCGTAACCATCCACATGATCCAGGCCCAGCCCTCTGTTTGTGCTGTCCGGAAGAAAAGGACACATTACGATAAGAATTTGAAAATCCCATAGGTACACCAATAACTAACATGGTGCTGGACCATATTATGCTGATGTCTGGCAAGGATGAAACGACAAGGCTTGTGAAGGGCTAGCGCCTTTAGCATCCCAATGGAAAACATGTTTGATTATATCAAGTTTATCAAGTCGTACGCAAAGCTGGCGTCTAAACTGGAAGACTTTAAACAACAGGTGAAACGTACGCAGTTGTTTAAGGCAGAGTTTCATCGACTTCCAGAAAGTGGATCAGCATTTCGATCGATCATCACCACGGCCGTGGATGCAGGATTGCAGGCTGACAGCTTTCGCCGGTTCAGTGCAGGTGCTTGCTGGGCGCCTACCTCCCACTTCAGTCTCGACAGGGATGGGGGACGAGCCGCCCATGCATGTATGCTTTCGTGTGTACGGGTCTCCAGATGAACATAGACATTACCCACGACGGCGGCTCGGCAACAATGTAATTGCATTAGTTTCAATATAATTATGTATATATTATTATTTTTGTATTTTTCAAACTTCAGATAAACATTATTAACTCTAGATAGAGCGATTTGATACAGCATATTAGTCTACAAGTTACTTGGAACATGAGGAAAGCATGTGTGAATACGGTATCTGCTACAAAAGTTATCTACCGAGGCTGGAATGGATGCCTGTGAAACACTATAAAAGGGGCTCCAGCAAAGCCTTATAACACAACCTCATTCCCTCAAACATCTGTGCTGATTCAATCAGGCCATTCTATTCCTCGTATTTTTGCTGCTCCTCCTCCCTCGACGGCGTGATCCGAAGCAGTCAACATGTCGTACACCATCCGCGTGAGAGTGATCGAGAGCAAGCCCACTGCCTGGTACAGCGTTGTGGAGAAGTGCAACTGGCTCTATGGCGGCTACTGGACTGAGGTGGACGGCGAGGACTTCCTCCACATGGACGCCAGCGGGACGTCTGGCATGCTGCGCTTCAGAAACCCTGCGGGCGAGTTCTTTCTCGTCGCTCTGGGAGTCCACAACTACAAGAGATGGTGCGACATCGTTGTGGACCAGAAGAATACCAACACCGGCGTCGAGATTCTGCCCACTTACTACAACAACGGGTCTCGCCAGGAGATGCTGTGGAAGCAACTGGCGACCTATGAGAAGAAAACGAGCAAGGGCGAGACCATCAAGGTTAACTACTACAAGGAGGACGGAAACAATCTGTATGCCACAATCACCATCACTTAAGCGGCACGGACAACGTTTTTGACGATGGTTTGCTGATAATGGTGTTTCATACGTTCTGGGCAGCAAGCCACGACTGCGTAAGTGTTCGAGCTGAGCTCAAGCTCCAACACATATGTGTGAAATGTGTAATATTTCACGGAAGACAGACAGTTCAGTGTTCATGTTGGGTGTTGCAGTATGTAGTAGATACGTTCAAATGTGTTGATGAAGATTAGCGTTGACGTCAGAGATGTGGCCTTCGCTGAAGGCAGGTCTCTGTACCTGCGGTCCTAATTAGCTGCTAGTTGCTAATCATATTACAACGAGTATTTTGTGTGTCTCTTCGAAAGCTGTTCCTCTTAAGCCTAAGAAAGCTTAGAAGTTTTTGTAGAATGCATGGTTTCTCGTTGTTGTGTAACCTTGGGATCTGATGACGACCAGAGGACTAAGGGTTCGGCATTTATCATAACTGTTTCATATTACTAAATGAAGTATCATTGTTTTTCTGGTTGCAAGGAGCTGGTAATTTGATGAAAGATGTAGGAATAGAGTAGACCTCATTTTTCGCGTTGTATACTTGTTTTACACATTCCTACATTCTTTGGCGATATGTGCAAAATCCATACGGAAAGAGAAAAGTAGCATGGAATATGTACGCATGCATGTGTGATTCGTTTCCATCTCAGAGGCAGAAAGAAAGATTAGTGTACTTTTTGCAGCATAGTTTTCGAATGAACTTGGTACATGACATGAAGATGGAGATGATAGGTCACTGGAACAGTATTCAAGAGTGTTGAGCTCGGGCAGATTGTTACGGAGAATACCGAGAAGTAAAACCTTGGTTGGGCGAGATCGGGGGGAATGCTTGGATCTGAAGCTCCTGTTAGAGCCATGGGAAAATTGACGAATTTTCTCAAAATTCATTATCATTATAGTAGTTATTCAAGCTAATGTCGAATAAAAAATTAAAATCACGATGAATGTTATTATATATGGACTTCTTCCGAATCCCTTAATTTATATTACTTGGCTGCACATTTCTGCAATCTGGTGGCCTTTGTTGCACTTGCAATCTGGTGTCCCCACAAATTACTTAGCTACCACATGTAATATTCACTTACCCACACCACATGTACACTATGTGATAATTCAACTCTCCCACTAGACTCCACTTCTATTCTAGTTCTTTATTGTACTCAACTCTTTTTGTAAGCTAATGTAAATTCTAACCATGCCAATTAGTAAATCTTCAATTTCTCGCAATATCATAGACTTCGCCAGACTCATACCCTTTGCCAAACGTTAATGTCTATATTTCCAAACGCTTTGTAAACACACCTTCCCACCATGTCTTCCGTCGGAGAATACAGTACTTCAAGTTTATTTTGTCCGCTCTCCATATTCTCACAAATTTATGTTGAAGTTATGCTCAGTCGAAGCTGCATTGATTTATTCCGTTAATAATTCTTGATCTTTCTTTATTTGCAGGCCAGGCGGAGATTCTGTATACTAGCCCTACGTGCTCGATTTTTCAATAAATTTTCCCACGTTCCGTACAATCCTGTAGGCTTTCCGCGATTTAAGTGATCAATCTCCTTCTACTTTAAACCTGGTGCTGATTGAGGTACGTCAAGTCGTGGACAATTATGTTACAGAATCTTGCTCAGACATAAGGGTACTTCGTCCTCCGTGCTATTCGCTGCCACAATCTAATAACACGAACGCGTCCAAAGATCTGCGATGTGGAGAGACCAACTAATATTCCGAAGGATGGGACTAAGTACAGTACGTGCAACCAATTCTACTCCTGGCCATATGCGGGTTAGATCGTGCCTCGAAACTACTGAAAATAACATCCACAAGAATGACGCGCTCTAGAATGTCGATGTACCTAGAATCATGAGGACATGTAGAAATCTGAGCGAACATGATTTCTATGACGCATTCATTCCCCATATGAGTTACAGTTCCTTGGAGACTGTGCGCCCTTGCAATAAATTCTTTTCTGGAGACACGCTATCACCTGCGCGGAGCCGTATTTTTAAGCTGTCAGCAAGTCCGCAACCATCCACATGATCCAGGCCCAGCGCTCTGTTTGTGCTGTCCGGAAGAGAAGGACACATTACGATAAGGCTTTGAAAATCCCATAGGTACACGGATAACTAACATGGTGCTACACCATATTATGCTGATGTCTGGCAAGGATGAAACGACAAGGCTTGTACGGGGCTAGCTCCATTAGCTTCACAATGGTAAACATGCTTGAATATATAACGTTTATTAAGTCGTACGCAAAGCTGGTGTATAGAGTGAAAGAGTTTAAACAGCAGGTGAAACAAACGCACTTGTTTAAGGCAGAGTTTCCTCGAATTCCAGAAAGTGGAGTAGTATTTCGATCGACCATGACCGCGCCCGTGGATGCAGGATGGCAGGCTGACAACTTTCGCCACTTGTAAGCAAGTGGCGTCGTAACTCGACGCCGTAATTGTAAGCAGTCAGCATGTCCGCAATCATCCACATGATCCAGGCCCGGCCTTCTGTTTGTGCTGTCCGGAAGAAACGGACACATTACGATAAGGCTATGAGAAACTCCATGTGCACACGGATAACTAACATGGTGCTAGACGACATTATGCTGATGAGTGGCAAGGATGAAACTACGATGCTAGTACGGGGCTAGCCCCTTAAGCATCACAATGGTATACATGTTCGATTTCATAAAAGTTTTAAAGTCGGTACGCAAAGCTGGCGTCCTAAGTTAGCCAGTGAAAATTTGGAAGTAGGCAAGAGGGTGATGAATTTTCATGGGTCTAAACCTGGAAGAGTATAAACAACAGGAGTAACAGAAGTGAGGCAATACAAGAAAGAGTCGAGAGACACAGATACTGAGTACTGGAGAGCAGATCTTAGTTATGTTATACATAGGACCTGGATTGGGTTTAAGTACCCAATCCGAGGTGACAACGGAAACTGGTATTTACACCCGCGTAGTGGGAAGGGTAGTGGTGTCTAATGATGACAAGGACACCTCAATAGTAGTGGGGTAGTGGCGTAGTGGGCTGCAGTCTAACAATGATTACACAAGAAGCAGCGTAGAAGGAATAGGGAGTAATCAGTATTCTAACACTCCCACTTACTACCTACTTACTTCGCTCATCCACATTTCCAACTAATAAACCTAAATTCTGATTATGATACCACTGCTTTTCTCTAGCTAATGGTTTTGTCATAATATCAGCAATCATTTCTTCTGTTGAAACATAAATTAATTTCACCAAGTTATTGGTAACCAGATCTCTGACAAAATGGTATCTAATGTCAATATGTTTAGATCTCTCGTGACTTTTGTTGTTCTCTATCTGTGACATGGCACTTTGGTTGTCACAGAAAATAGTGGTCGACTCCAGCTCAAAACCTAGATCGGTTAGTAATTCTCTTAACCACATAGCTTCAGCTCCAGCCTTGGACAAAGCCATGTACTCGGCTTCTGTAGAAGAAAGCGCTACTGACTTTTGCTTCTTGGATGTCCAACTAATGGTTCCGCCATTAAGTTGGAAACAGTATCCAGACGTCGATCGTCTCGTGTCAAGGCAACCACCCCAGTCTGCATCAGAATATCCAGTCAAACCGGATGGTTTGTCAACCCTCGTGAACACAAGGCCAAAGTCGAGAGTTCCTCTCAGGTATCTGAAAATTCTCTTGACTGCCTTCCAATGTGTCAATCCAGGATTTGACATGAACTGAGCCACAGAACTGACAGCAAAGGATATATCTGGTCTAGTGCAGACCATAGCCCACATCAAGCTCCCAACTGCAGCTTGATATGGAATATTCTTCACCTCTTCACTTTCTCCCACTGAATTGGGAGAGTCAAGCGTACTTAACTTCAAACCGGGTTCCATGGGTGTATCAATTGGCTTACAGTCAGCCATGTTGAACCTCGCAAGCTTTTCAACCAAATATCGTGGTTGGGAGATCCGAATCCACCCTTCTTCACGATTTCTGTCAACTTGCATACCAAGACAATGATGGATCTCTTCTAAGTCCACCATTTCGAACTCCGCTTTAAGTTTCTCCTTGATCTGCGTGAGGAGACGCAATGAATTGCTTGCCAGTATACAGTCGTCCACGTACAGTGCTAAATACACAAATGCATTCTCCTGAAAGTGAACGTAAATATTCTGATCTGCATTAGCCCTGGTAAAGGCAATCTGTAGTAAGAACGAGTCAATCCTCTGGTACCACTGTCGTGATGATTGTTTCAATCCATAAATGGACTTAATTAGTTTACACACCATGTTATTCTCAGAAGAGATCTTCAACCCTTCAGGAATGGCCATGTAGACTTCTTCGTCCAACCGCCCGTTCAGGAATGCAGTTTTCACGTCCATCTGGTGCAGCTCTAAATTGTATTGAGCTGCTAGAGCCATTAACACCCTGATGGATGTCATCTTCACCACCGGGGAAAAAGTTTCTGAAAAGTCAACACCATAAACCTGTGAATAGCCTTTGGCTACTAACCTGGCCTTGTATCGATCAACAGAACCGTCAGGCTTGTATTTGATTTTGTAAATCCATTTGCAGCCAACGACGTTCTTACCCGCAGGTAACTCTGTCAGTGTCCAGGTGTGATTTTTCTTCAAGGAAGTAAATTCGTCCTCCATAGCTTGTTTCCATTTGATGGAATTAGCATTTTGTAAGGCCTCTTCATAAGAAGTAGGTTCTTGGTGAGTCTCTCCGTATGAAAATAGACCTTGATGCTTCTTCCTCTTCTCCAAAAGTTGATCATATCTTTCGACACGTTTCCTTACTCTTTCCCCCCTTCGAAAGAGAGGATCGATGGAGTGGGAAGACGATGAAGCATCCCCCGTAGCTGCAGGCGGGACTTCAGATGCAGTGTTGTGAATTCGGAGTTCTCCCAGTAAGTCTTCGAGGTTGCACACTGTATCATCAAGAGGAGCCGAAGAGAGAGAATTCTCCCGTAGCTTCCACATGCGTCTCTGATAAGTCTGGCCAAAACGGGCTGGATAAGTTGCAGGGACTTCAGCAGTGGGAGAATGACTTACGGATGAAGTGGAAGTTGCCTGTGGAACTCCCACTGCATGTGATGGTGTCCCTGGACTGAATTCTCCTACCGCTGGTGGTCGTCCTGCTGGTTGCTGTTCTGCTGGTAACCTCCTGCGAACTGGATCAGTCGATGGAGCTAGTGGAACAGGGCGAAAGGGAGTAAAACCTTCTTGCTCAGCAGGTGGAATAACTGATGCTTGCTGATGGTGAGAGGTAGCTTCTCGAACTGCAAGAGGCATAAATCTGACGGATCTGCTTTCAAGAATCTTGTGAGAGTCCTTTCTCTGTACGCGATATCCTTTGGCTGTAGTAGAGTAGCCAAGGAAAACACATTCTACACTCTTGGGGTCTATCTTATCCCGATGGCCTTTCTCAATATGAGCAAAGGCAGTACATCCGAAAACTTGTAGATTCCGCAGATCCGGCTTCTGCCGATGCCAAAGTTC